AGCTCGTCACCTAGGCATTTAATCGAACACATTGTGTGCATTTTGAAGTTTTCACGTATATGAGGCTTCCTAAACTAGCTTCCGTTGTCACACATCAATCACAAACATAACACAACATTCTATCTTCACCAATCGTTGGAAAATAAGATAACTAAAACCTCCCAATTTGAAGTTGAAAAATTAGGGTTTAGAGACTTTTACCTTAAACTTGGTGTGAATGTGGGTGAATTAGTTACCCTTGGCCACTTGGAGTCTTGATAGTGTGATGAATTGTGCAATTGATTGTTTTGAGCGTGTTGATTGGTGTGTTAGGTGTGTGAGTTTCTTGTGTTTATGAGATAAAGAGAGTTGTGCGAGAGAATGAGTGTTTTGTGTGTGTGTGTGTGTGTGTGTGTGTGGTGCATGTTTTTAATTTAAAAACTGAAATTTTTTTCCGTATATGCTCTATGCGACCCCATAGAGTAACAGGTCAGGGCCATGTATATGCGGCCGCATAGACTAAACGTCCCAAAATATATATATATTTTTTAAATAAACTTGAAAAGGTACCAACACTTCTGACTTCTAAAAACACAACTCGACTCACATCTCCTCAAAATATTTGGTTTTCGATAGTAAATTTGACCCGGCTTTTCACATCCCCAACGATAACTTTTGAAACTATTTTAACAACATGGGGTATGTGCCGGCTAATGGACTTAGTACCAAAAACAATTTTTGAATTAAGTTCAAACCACGCTCTCGAACGTTTTATGAAAAATGACTGTGTGCCTCAAAATGCGTGAATGTCACATCCAATCTCTCAACAACAACTTCTACCAATCTTAACTCGTGCTCAATGCCTAGGGACTCGTGTGGATAGTACTTAGCCTCATACATAGATGATCGATGACTTACTGACTAAAAAATTCCTAAGCTAATGCAAAAAAAGCAAAATAAATGAAAAGGGATGTGGTGGGTAGCCTACCGCCCATCACTAGTTTATAGTCGATAGCTCGATTTTTTCACTTCTGCTTTAATTAGGTGACCGGAGTTGAACGGTGAATTTTTGCTTAAAGAAGTTATCGCCACAGTAGTATTTCAACATTTGCCCATTAACTGTAAATGTGCTTTTTGTTTCATGGCTAACCTGTATGGCTCTATATGGAAGAACTTTAGTGCCAGTGTGGGGACCCGACCACCTTGACCTTAATTTTCCAGAGAACAGCTTGAGTCTCGAGTTATATAACAGAACTTTCTGTCTTACTTCAAACTCTCGCCTCTGAATATGTAGGTCATGGCACCTTTTGGCGCATTCTTTAATAAACTTCGAGTTTTCATATGCTTCCATCCTGAGTTCATCTAACTCATTGAGCTGCAATAAACGCTTTTCACCAACGGTTTTCAAATTCATGTTCAACTGTTTCATAGCCAAGTATTCCCAATGTTCTATCTCCAGTGGGAGGTGGCACGCTTTTCCAAAAATTAGACGAAATGAAAACATGCCTATCGGTATCTTAAATGCTGTCCTATATGCTCACAATGCATCGTCCAACTTTTTAGACTAGTCCTTTCGAGAGGAATTCACTGTAACCTCTAATATTCTCTTCACCTGTCGATTGGACACTTCGACTTGCCCGTAGGCTTGTGGATGATATGGGGTTGCTACGCGGTGTTTAACCCTATATTTACTCAATAATTGCTCAAATTGGCGATTGCAAAAGTGTTTGCCCCTGTCACTATTCTGGTCGGTATTAGTTCATTCTTCTCATTTGGCACCGCTGTTATTCCACCTTTCTTTAGCACCACCTAAACTTGGCTAGTCCATGCACTGTCTGG